TAATTTGGGAGTGGATTGGATTGGTTTATATATATAAAAAAAAAAAGTTAAAAGGACTAACCATGTGTGTGGCGGGAATGAACTTTCCCTCGTGCAAGTGTAGGTCCTACAACCAAACTCTCTAAACTCCAAACTCGCACGTGTACAATGATCTGAACCGTCCATCATTTTATCCGTCAATAACTTTTAACGGTACCGATTTCACAAAAGGGCCCCACCACGAACCTTTGATTTTTGACCAAAGACCAAAACAAAAAAAATCGGTCATAACTACAATTAGTTAGATGTATGAGTTTTTTATCCGCAAATTCGAAGTTTTACAATATATATAAAAATATATTGTTCATTTTTATAACAAGTTTAATTAATTAGTATTTATTTTATTAAAAGTTGTTTATTAAAATGAACAATATAAAATATTCAGATTATAAGAAATAGTATAGTAAATAAATATTCTCTAATTTTTGTTTAAAAGATTGGTTTAAAAACGGTAACGCAAGCGTGCGTTTTGACCCTAAGCTCTTTAAACCACCTCCACTTGCTCAGTTCCTTTACTTCCTTACCCACTTTCTTCATCATTTCTCATTTTCTCTCCCTTTCCCTCATTTTCTCGCCGGAAATCTGGAAAGAACTCAACGATGAGAGATGATACAGACACGTACATTACTACGGTGCCTAGCTTCTTCAAGTGTCCAATCTCTCTCGACGTAATGAGATCTCCGGTGAGCCTCTGCACTGGCGTCACCTACGACCGCGCCAATATTCAGCGTTGGCTCGACGGAGGCAACAACACTTGTCCAGCGACCATGCAGGTTCTGAAGAGCAGAGAGGTGGTCCCTAACCTCACGCTTCAGCGACTGATCGATGTCTGGTTCCATTCCATCGGCCGGAGAAGTTTCGATTCGCCGGCGGAGAAGCCGCCGGAAGACAGAGTTCCGACGTTGGAAGAGGCGAAGGACGGGTTGGAGAAGCTGAATCTCGAGATCGACGATGAGATTCGTCTGGAGATGCTGTCGAGGATTGTCCGGTTCGCGAGAGAATCCGAAGCCAACAGAGGATATCTGGTAAGGAAGGAGGATTTCGTCCCAATGCTGTTGGATATCATTGTCTCCGTCCATGATGGAGCACGGACGATCACGAGATTCGAGCTGGTTCTTCGGGCGATCAGGATTCTGGATACCATCAGGAGCGGGAACGGAGGAGATCGGGAGCGGTTGTCGAAGCTGATGTTGTCGAGGTCTGGTGGCGTTTGCTTGACGGTGATTCTTCTCGCGCTTCAACGAGGGAATCTGGAATCGAAGATCGAGTCGGTTAGGGTTTTGGAGTGGATCGCATTTGATGCTCAATCCAAGCTCGCGATAGCAGAACGAGAAGGATTCCTGCCGGAGCTGATGAAAACGATCTCCACAGATTCCGATTCGAGCTTGATTGAAGCAACCTTATCCTTCCTTATCACGATTTCCTCATCGAAACGAGTTCGTTCGCGGTTAATATCGGCGAAGGCCATCGCAAAGCTCAGAGACCTCCTCCTTACAGAGACGGTGACCGGAACTGTAGGAGTGACGGAGAAGACGCTAAAGCTGCTGGAGATTCTGTCGTCTCGCCGGGAAGGGAGATCGGAGATATGCGGCGGGGGAGGAGGATGCGTGGATGGAGTGGTGAGGAAGCTGCTGAAGGTGTCGACAGCGGCGACGGAGCATGCGGTGGCGATACTGTGGTTGGTTTGCTACGTGTTCGGAGCGGAGTCGTCTCCGGCGGCGGCTGAGGCGGTGGAGAGAAGCAACGGCGTAGCAAAACTTCTGGTGGTAATGCAGAGCAACTGTTCTCCGGCGATACAGCAGATGGCGAAGGATTTGATAAAGGTGATGAAGTTGAAGAATCGCACATCGTGTTTTGTTGCTTACAATACAAAGACCACTCATATTATGCCCTTTTGATTATTTTTTTTGATAATGTATTTGTATGATCAAAATATGAACCTCAGAGATGGTAAATCCAAAGGGTAAAAAATGCTGGTAGGAAAATTAGTGAATATAAACATATATTAAAGAAAATTCAATTATCTTTGATATTCTGCATTTTTAGAATTTGAGTAAAACTAAATTTTAATTTGTTCGCGTATTTGTAACTACAAATTCAGTTTTCCGGTAGTGACAACAGGAAAAAAAATGAAGATTTAAATATACCATAAATTATATATATATATATATATATATCATTTATTTATTCAAGGAAATAATGATTCAAAAATACAACAAGAAAAATCCAAAAAGGGACAAGTGATGAAAAGATACGACTGAAGTTATGAGTCATTATCCATATCAATATCAGTGTTCCAAGAAAACAAATTGGATATAAAGTTAGATTATCATGAAGTATAATTAAAATATTGTCATATTTTATATATGGAATATATGACCTTACGATATGTAATTTGGGAGTGGATTGGATTTGTTTATATAAAATCAAATTGAATTGGATAATGTTAACCCTCTTTCAATGAAATTTAATTTTAAAACCGTCTTAGCAAATATTTTTTAAAACAAATTAATCGAATTTTATTAAACTCTTAATTAAAAAATAATTAAAAATCAAATAAAAAAGAAATCTTTTCTAAAATAAGATTTTTTTATTTTAAAAAATGTATACGAATATAATTTAAAGCAAACTAAAATTTGATATAAATATTCCTCAAAATGAAAAGAATGAGATTCTTCGGCTTTAGAGTGGTCACAGGTGAGGACTTAGTAACATGTGACTTTGGTAGGAGCACATTCCAACATGCCTCCTTTCGTCCACACCCCCTTCTCTCATCTTGTTCTGAACTCATTCACAACGATATGCTTTTTTAAAAAAAAAAAATTCAAACCAAAATAAAAATAATATTTTTAAATATGAATCTGTTTTTTGTTTTTACACGGGGGACTCTAGAAAACCTACTCATTTATTGAATATAAGATAATTTCCATATTCAAATTCGAATCCATTGAAACTATATCGTGTTTGAACTGAGATGGATATATTTTTTAAATGAATTTTATAAATATATAAATACAAAAAACTAATTAATAGTTTAAGAATATAAAAATATAAACAAAACTTTAATTGAATCTCCAACCAAAATCGAGGTAATCCTATATTTTTCTTTTTATTATATAATATTTTACTTTCTTAAATTCTAACTAAAAAAAAAGACAACCGAAATCCAAAATCTAATTTCTAGTTCAAAATTAGAGAAGTAAAATACTTTTCTCATGAAGTATGTACCGTGGCGATTCCGAAATATTGTTCTTGCTAGTATATAATGATGCATTAAATTAATATAATTGCCTACAAAAAAAAAATTTGGTCTTTTGATTCTTAAAAAAAAATTACTATTCCTTTATCCTATCCAATTTACTGCAGATTACACATTTTAAGTGGTAGGTACCTTTATGGGAATTTCACATATATCTACAATCGTTCTTAGTTGTAATTAACTATAATTATTTTCATAGATACAAAAAATACAACACTTATAATTATTATCCACTTTATTTAAATAAAATGTTACTTGATTAGACCATAAAGGAAATCTAAAGTGGACTTATCGGTTCTTTTTAAAAAAAAGAAAAGTTCAGGTCTGTCGAATTTATAATTTACGTGTTTTTAAATGTATTCACAGCTATCTTATTTATCCAGATATATTTAATCAAATATTCTCTTCATATATATTTATTGGCGATATGTCAAAAATACCTTTCGATTTTTACTTCACACGTTATTTTCTCAAACATTAATTTTTTAAAAATATTAGATAAAATAAGTTTCTTATCTCTCAATAAAACTCCTTTTAACTATATGGATCTCTCATTTATTTTCTTTAGTTTTTATTTAATTTTTTTCGAAACATCCTTATTTGAACAAATATTATAAAAAGTTATAGAATACCATTATTTTACAAAAGGTTTCAAAAATAAAAGGTTTCGAAAATTATAAAAATACCCTTATTTTTATCTGCCACAAGAAAAACAAAAGGTTTCAAAAATGGTTAATAACTTTCAAATTTCAAAATTTTGAAAGATATAACAAGAGAAAAAAAAAGTGATTTCAAGATAAAGTAAGAGAAAAAATTATTTCGAAACAGAACAATAAGAAAAATGATTCCAAAGAGAAAAGTAAAATATTAATTTGGACAATACATTTTTTTTATAATTAGAAAGTTTCTCGCACTTTCGTTCCAATTATATATCGGAAAGGATTAAAAAAAATTAGCTGAATTTCTCTCTCAAAATAGAAAAAATAATTTATTTCATGATACACCCAATTTTAAGTAATTTAGACAATACATATTTATAAGAATATAGATAAAATGATGTTTTTTTTTCTGATTACAATGTTATAAAGTAAAATAGTAAAATAAGGTATTTTTATAATTTTCATTGTTCGTAATTTTTTTTGTTTTCTTTCGATCACCGGTTTTGTTTTTTTCTTAATTTTTAAATATACAAATTGTGTTCATTAATTTATTCCTTTGATCTCCGATGAAAGGAATATAACTCTAAGGAAGTGGGCTTTGAAATAAATAAAGGTTTTTCTTCCTTATCCAACCTTACGTTGGGCTTTTCCCGATCTGAATTGGTAAGATAGCAACCCAAACTAGAAATTTTAAATCATTAAAAAAGAGCTAATTAATACATTGGTGGGAAAATGGAAACTATGTAAAAATAACATTGAAATTAGAATACTATTATTTGTAACGCCATTATATATATATATATATATAGCTAGGAAAATTTCTATTATTTATGGGCCTTGAAATGAATTTTTTATTTTTGTTTTTATATCATAGTTGGATTCTTGTGTGAAATTTGATTGTGTTATAGTTCCTTTTCACTGAGTGAGTCGTATCTATGCCTTGCAAAAATTCTCTTATAACACTACTAATTCAACCAATGAAAAATGATGCAAAACATGTGTATCGTTTCGAATTCGAATTTTAAATTTAGAGAGAAGAAGTATATTCCAAATCACATGTCTAACTACGCCTCCAAGATTAGTTTGAATCTTGGTTTAAAATATTCGATTATCTAAAAAAAAATTTCTCGTAGGTCGCTTGTTACGAGATATGGAGAAGATATGGAGAGTAAACACAGCGGAAGACCTATTTGCAAAGATCGACCGGACGGTGAGAAATTGTATTCGTGCTTTGCAGGATTGAAATACATTATGTAACGACACTTTATTATTGGAGGATTGATTCTACACATTGATCTTGTGTTGGTCCAAATTACAGAATCCATTTTTTTTGGCTCAATATTGGACCAAAGATGTAAAAAAATATATTTTTATATATAAAATTTACCACTACAAAAAAACACGTTACAAATTTCAAAATAACAATTTTCAATTATTTTAATATTGGATTTGCATTTCATTTTTATCTTAAAAATGACATTTGAATGTTTTTATATCATATTCAATTTGAATACATTGATATATTATCTAAGTTAAATTATATATAATCGTGGTAAAATAAAATTATGTGCATGAACACAAATACAAAATCCTTCACATAATTTCTTATTGACGGAACGTTTCTCTTTTAAAAGATTAGGGCAAAAAAATCAATCTATTAAGAGATATGGAAAAGATTCGCGAAGATTACGTAATCTTTATATTTGATTTTATTTATATATTTATATATTTATATATTTATATTGATTAAATAAGATATATTGTGATTCTATTTTCTACCTATAAATATTATAATTCTCTATGTTGAATAATGAAAAATACAATTATTTTTCGCTCTTTTTTTATTATGGTATCAGAGTTTATACGACTAAACATCGTAAATATCTTTTCTAAACTCGGTTTTTAGCTCATTCGATTGAAAAACTCCGTTCGTCGATTCGTGTATTTGCGCCATATTTCGGCTTTAGCCGCACGCATTTGCACTATTTATTTTTTTTCCAACATAGCTGCTAAACCATTGCGCATTTTACACCGTCGATATTGTTGTCGTACTATTTCACAATACCATGCATCTGCACCACGTTTCTACGTCACACCAGACTTTTCAGATCCGCAAACAATCCACTGTTTACCTAGATTCGATTATCAAGTCCCACTATTTTTTTGAGAACTCAACCTCAAGTAATTGTTTTTCATCTCCTTAAATTTGAGAGGGCATATTAAGAGAGATATGGAAAAATTCGAAAAGATTACGTACTATTTAGATTTGATTTGATTTTTTTATTTTATATATTTAAATTGATTAAATAAGATATATTGTGATTCTATTTTTATCTATAAATATTATAATTCTCTATATTAAATAATGAAAAATCCAATTATTCTGAATTCTTTTTCTATTACAATCTACCATTGATATAAGAATTAAACCATCCATATGATACCATTGTCACTATTGTAAGAATATCTATCTAAAAATATCTATCTAAAACTCAAATCATCGAATTCCAAATGAAATAAAAAATTTAATAAAAATATCTAAAAATGTCATCGTTTTTATTAAATTATTCTATCATAAATTATTACAATAATAATAATAATAATAATAATAATAATAATAATAATAATAATAATAATAATAATAATAATAATATAAATTATTACATAAATAATAATAATAATAATAATAATAATAATAATAATAATAATAATAATAATAATAATAATAATAATAATAATAATAATAATAAGTCATACGTTGACTATTGAATCACGTGAAAGGGTTATGAAATCCAACCCAGGCCTAAGAAATTCCACTTGCACAACTTAAATCCTTTTTAGTTTTTACCCTCTTAAAATAGTGTGTAATATACATATATATAGAGAGAGAGACTAGTATGAATATTTCGTTTTCTATGTTATACAAATTTAGTTTGAATTCCTTTTTAATTAAATTTTTATAAATTTTTTAGTTTTTATATTAAAATAAAATTAGGTTAGTTTTAGATAAAATTGTATTCAATATATAAAGTAAATACAATCAAAATATTATATATTATTCGACTAATTTCATTGCAATTTTATATAACAAAACCAACCTATTCAAATTATTTATATTACATCAAATTCGGTTCAAATATTATATAATATTCGGTTAATTTTATTTCGATTTTATTTAAAAGAATCCAAATATTGTATCTAACAAAGTTAATTAAAACCTACGTAGGAAAAAATAATTAAAAATATACACAAATCAGAATCAATACCATTACTAATAATGATAGATAAGATTTTTCTATCATGGTCTAGCATTACAAAATTAACTATACCAATTACGATTACCATAATGTTAAAAAATCGTATAAATGATAGCTTATAATTTGATAAAGAATAGCACAAACAGTAACGATTATAATATGATAAAAACCAACACAGAGAATTACGATTACGATATGATAAAGTTTTATAAATGATAAGAGTCGTTGCAAAAAAAAATAATTGCTGATTCTTGTAACCAAAAATAATATATGATGAATTATGAATTATGCGTCTCTCTATCTCTCTGTGGACTAACCAAAATACTTTTTGGTCGAACGAATAAAAAAAATAATTTAGAAGAGATTAAGATAAATCATTATCATAAGATATTTTCTTATTCGAATCGTTTATAATATTCATGGGAGCGAAGAGTTTTCCAGGCATGTTCTTGATTGAGAAAGTCAACATTTCAAAGTCAAACTATTCGCTCTTGCAAAAAAAAAAAACTTTTTTTTGTCATTTAACATTCATTTCCCCACCAAACAGATTAAACACAACACAACAGCGAGGAGAAAAAAGAAGATAGTGAGGCCAAAAAATCTCAGCAAGAAGAGGAAGAGAAGTTCCTGGTGATGGAGCCGCCGGAAAAATTCGCCGGAGACAAGGCCTCCGATCAACAAGAACAGAAGCGGCAGCTTCAGATCCATGGCCCTCGACCTTCTCCTCTCAGCGTCAGCAAAGACTCCCACAAAATCAAGAAACCCCCGAAGCCTCCGCCGCCGCACGCTCCGCCACGCGCCGCCGTATTCGTCCCAAGAGAACCGGTGGTGATCTACGCGATCTCTCCCAAGGTCGTACACACCACCGTCTCCGATTTCATGACGGTGGTCCAGAGGCTCACCGGAATCTCATCGGGGGTCTTCCAGGAATCCGACGCCGGAGGCTTGTCGCCGGCGGCGAGGTTAGCGGCGACGGAGAATGCTAGCCCGAGGGTGAAGGAGCCGGCAAGAGATGCGGCGAATGACGTCGCCGGGATCTCAGAGGCTGCGGAGGAAGCGGTGGGGTTGGGTCGTCCTCCGGGGATACTCTCGCCGTCTCCAGCGATGTTGCCGGTGGTTCCTGCGGGAATATTCTCTCCGGCAGTTTCCGCCGGAATGTTCTCGCCGGCGGGGATGATGAGTCCGTTTGTAATGTTTAGCCCGAGTTATATGCCAGGCTCAAGTATGGTTTCTTCTCCAACTCTATCTTCTGATTTTTTCAGCCAAATTTGGGATTTGTAGCCTTTTTCTTTTTGTCAGATTTTTCATTTTTGTTTTAATTTTGACAAATTAGTTTAACCCAAATGGGGTTAAGAGTTAATGTAATTTAACTTGTTTAATGACTTAAACTTTACATTAATACCATTGACTATGATTAGTCCATACATAAAATCCACACGTGCTTCACATGTGAAAATATGTATACTGCCGAAACTACAGAAATGCCACGCCATTGCTTAGTTTTGCTTGTGGGAACTGTCAAAAAACCAGATCTAGAAAATCTTCAGACAAACTCCTACAACAAGTAACTAACTTCTGCAATAACAGAATTATGTACAAGAGCAAGAACATATAAGAGAGTGAATGGGCTCTGTTGCTCGGATGTCACCTTCTCGACCTAAAACTCTTTGATGATGATGATGATGGTGGTGACCATGAACATCATGTGGCTGCGAAGGTTGAGTTCCATGTTCCTCCGATCAATGTGCCGACCCTCTCTCCCTTTATTGCTTTCGAGATGTTACCCTGCTTTGAGAGGTTGAACACCACAACTGCAATAAGAGGGTAAAAGGGTTTGTTCTTGACCAAGAAAGTATTGCAGAGAGATGTTAGATATCGAAATCCGTTGAATAACCTAAACATACCGGGAATGTTATTTTCTTGACACAAAGTGATAGCAGTCATGTCCATAACCGATAGATCTTTCGAGGTCACTTCATGATATGTCAGCGTATCAAGAAGGCGAGCATTTGGGTTGCATTTAGGATCATCGTCATAGACTCCATCCACATTTGTCGCTTTCAGAACAACCTCAGCATTAACTAATCAAAGGTGAAATCATAAGCCATAACGAAAAGGTTTTGGAGATGTGAATGGTTTCTTTCAGTCACTTTCTGTAGCAAGAATCTTTGTTCGGAGAAACTAAAGAGTAACGGTTTTGGTGATGAAAAGTGAGAAGGGATCTCTTACTTTCAGCACACCGAAGTGCTGCTGCAGTATCAGTGGTGAAAAATGGATTCCCTGTCCCGGCTGCAAATATGACGACCCTTCCTTTCTCCAAGTGTCTAACTGCCCGTCTCCGTATGTAAGGCTCTGCCACTTCTGACATGCGAAATGCAGTTTGGACACGAGTAGGAATGCCAATGCTCTCCATTGTTGCTTGAAGAAAAATTGCATTCATCACAGTAGCCAGCATCCTGTCAAATTTGATGAACCACAGTGAGACCCAGAAAAACTTCGATTTTCTTGGAATTAGGGAAAACAGGGTTTTGGAATTCATTCCTTTTTGTTCCGTTCAAACATACTGATCAAGAAATCAACAAAAAATTCATCTGAATTCTCCATTGGACGAGGCGCCACGCTTCTAGGTCTTGTTGCAGGAAACAAAAGCAAGATATCTTGGTACATGACAAACAAGCATGCAGATAAAGAGGGATGTATTCTGCCAGACCAGTATAAGATACCCGATATAATCAGCAGATGAGCGCTCAAGGCCACTGCTTCCGGCCCAAGAGGATCCACGGAAGATGTTTCCTCCTCCAACCACAATGGCAACCTGTTGCAGATGACCAAACAAGAATAAAGACAAGATGCAGCGTATGAGTATTCTCACTGACCCAGATCCATCCATAAAAAAAGATTAACGTTTTTGTACTTTCAGCTTGTAAAACAGGTCTCTTTCGATTTATCCCAGCCGTGGATGCAACAATTATATCAACATAATCAAGCTATGGATGATTAAAACCATGCACCAACATACTACTGAGGTACACTGACAAGTTTCCATTGCTTTCCAGTTGGTTACATTTTCTTCTGAACAACCATGGAATCCTCGCATTATTACCACAGTCAGCCAATTGAAATTTCTTGTAAAAGTTTAAAGCCTAAGACCTATCAATCAATCACCGCCCACTGAGGAATTGTGATCGATATGGTGTAATCCATTAGAAGGAAATGGCTGGACGAAAAAAAGTCTCAGATTAACCTCAATCCCAAGCCGTGTCACTTCTGCAACTTCTCTTGCGATGGCCATTGTAACCTGTTTCATTTAATGGAAACAAATTGAGAAATATAGAGGAACCCATCAACAAAGATAGCACAAATAAATGAAAAAAGAAAAACCTTTGGATCAATATTTTGCAAATGGTCTCCAGCAAGAGCTTCTCCACTGACTTTAAGCAACACCCTTCGCCATTTAAACGTCGGTTTTGATAACCCGGATTCATTCATGTTCACACCAAAGGAAGACATGCACGGAAACGAAGACTGCCCATTTAAGCCACTGAAATCCCAACAAAGAGAACACAAACGACAAATACAGGATCAGTTAACAAAGCAGAAACTAGCCGTAACACTGGAAAATGGAGATGGGTACATTAAAGCTGAACCAAAGACCAGACATTTGCAATATCATAACCATGCATGTACAAAGAGACATCCACAACAAGATCAGGCCTTTGAAACTATCAAGCTCAATGCATTAATATAATGTAAAAAAACAATTGAACAAACACACCATAACCAAATGGGTTTTCACAGAACCATTTTCACAAACACTTAGTTGGCGTGAAATTCTGAAAGGTAGTATTAGTACCTTCCGTTGACGGGATCAGGAGAGGAACCGGCGTCCGGGGACAAGGACGAAGAGCAGCTGATGAACACACGTCTAACGAAACTCTGTTTCAACAAGGAATTGGAATTGTGGGATCTGAGAGGAACCCAAGGGATAGGGGAAGAGGAAGAATAATAGATTGGAGAACGAGAAGTAAAGGGCATCAAAGATGTGACATAAATAGCCATTATTGGGAACAGACGAGAATTGGGAGTATGAGAAGATTAAAGCTTTTTTATGGTTCACTCAGAATTGAGTTTGTGTCGCTGCCAAAAGAGAGGGGTTTAGGGTTTTTAACTCTGGCCTCCCCAACAGAAACTGATTCTGCCCGACAAGGAAGATAAGGTTTGTGTTTAGATTTAAATCATCTCTCTCTCTCTCTCTCTCTCTCTCTCTCTCTCTAGTTTTTTTACAAAGAATATCTCCATTACGAAGAATAGACAAATTGGTTCGGTTTCACAAAATCGAACCGAAGTAAAACCGAAATATTATTCGATTTAATTTCATGTTATGTGATAAATATGGAAATGTGATAAAAGCGAAATTAAGCTTTAATTTACATAATATTATAGTATAATATATGTATGTTAAATACGGAAATTTATAAGAAGGTGAAGAAAATTTATATATAAAAATACAACTTTTGTAAATTTACATTATTATCTATTATCCAATCCAATTGGTTTGAAATTAATATATGAATATAAAAGAAAATGAATTAGAATTCTGTCTTGATTATTTGTATGGTAATAATAGTTTGTAATAATTACAGAACCTCATTTTGTCTATTTCATATTTTCATGTGTAATAAATGGATATATTATTTAATTTATGCATAATGATTTTTGGATTAAATCGTACTAATTAGTTGTAGAAAACGTACAAAACTATACTTTTTCCATTGAAATTTTCCAAATTTTTTTTTATATTTATTAATGATAATTTTAGGGGAAAATATGTTTATCTAAATACAAGTTGGGAGTTATTCAAAGATTAGTTGTAAATTAGTAATTGGTTTTTCCTAAAACCGATAATTAACGAAAACATGAGCAAAAACAAAGGACCAGAACATCCTTTCCTTTAACAGCACTTCCCACTCTTTTCCGGAGAATTTACGGTAATGCCCTCTTCCCTTCCAAATCGAGAACACGAACCGAATTGAATATATGACTTTGCATACGTCGGAATCAGACAGTGTATTCTCTCCTCTCCGATCTCTCCTCCGCTTTCCGATCTCGCGAGATGCGTCCGGTTTCGTTGGTTTGACGAATTTCCAAGTCTCGGCTCGTCCTGGTGGATATTTTTCTGCGTATTGTCTGGTATGGTTTTCGGATTGTTCTTTTCAGTTTACACAAACAGGGATTTCATCGGCATTTATTCTCGTTTGATTCGGTTTCTTTGGATTTGGGCGGTGCCCATTTGTGATTCGATCCGTTAATCTGAGGGTTTGCGGGAAAATGATGTCTTTAGCTTGAGATTACAGTTTTTGATGGTTTGCACAGCTAAAGATCGTGTCATTATCTGGAAACTTAGGATGTGTTCATGATGTTTCTCTGTTCGATACGGATGTGCAGTTTAATCAGAATTTGCTATGCCAGTGTATTGCTCTTGGATACTTCTTCTGCATGATGGATCCGCAAATCTTTAATGGGTACAAGTGGATATGGAGGAGCTAGAGATAATTCTATGGTAAATAAGCTGCACCTTTTGCAAATCATCCGGTGGTTGTAGCAAAATGATGTGTAATGTGGGAGTGGTGAATGATTTGGAGCGATGAGTACGTTTACCAAGAACAAATCATTCAATAGAAGGGCACTTACTTCCTTGGCTGTGGAAAGCCCGAGAACAACGAGCATCAACAGTGCTGTAGGTTCGGCTTTTGCTAGCCCAAGAACCCCAAACTTCGGGGGAATCCCACCTGTTAACCGGTTAAGCGAAATCTCGTATTTGTTTCAGGTGCTCATTGTCACTGGATCCATCGTGTCATTCTTGATCATAGTTGCTGGTGGTTATTTGTATATCGTTCCCAGCCTTGGTCAAACATTCTTGGGCTATAACGAGCCCCATTTCAATAGCACTGTTGAATACTGCGACATATTTGACGGGCACTGGGTTGTCGATGACACCTACCCTTTATATAATGCTTCAGAATGCCCATTTGTAGAAAAAGGATTCGATTGCTTAGGGAACAGACGTGAGGATGATGAGTATCTTAAGTGGAGGTGGAAGCCAAATCATTGCAACGTTCCACGGTTCAATGTGGGCGGCATATTGGAAAGGTTAAGAGGTAAAAGGATAGTTTTCGTGGGAGACTCAATGAGTAGAACACAGTGGGAGTCATTGATATGCATGTTAATGACGGGGCTGGAAGACAAGACTAGTGTCTATGAGGTCAATGGAAACAACATAACGAAAAGGATAAGGTTTTTGGGTGTGAGGTTTAGTTCCTTCAATTTTACCATAGAATTTTTCCGCTCGGTTTTCTTGGTTCAGCAAGGAAAGCTACCAAGGCATGCACCAAAACGCGTTAAGTCGACGTTAAAGTTGGACAAGCTCGACGATATCAGCCATGAGTGGGTCTCAGCGGACGTGCTTATATTCAATACGGGCCAGTGGTGGGTGCCCGGGAAGCTTTTTGAGACGTAAGTGCCTCTGCATAGACTTGTTTTGAGATGGAAATACAATTTTTTGGCACATATTCTCAGTATTGTTGATTCCACATTCCAATCATTTCTTTATTCCGCCATAGTAATTACTTGTATTATATCCTGGTTTTGCATGATAACATCCTATACCTCGACCCGTATTTTTCTTGTCGACATCAACTTGTGCTGCTGTAACTAAAGCTTTCCTCCTCCATGACATTGGTATCTTTCAGCGTTGTGTTATTAGGCAGAAATTTATATCTTTATCGCCCTTGTTACGTGGTTTATATCCAGAAAAATCTGATCACAAGATCTGCTGATCCTTGATCTCAGAAGAGTTTAAGCCAATCCATATGGTTTCTCTGAGGGAGATGTTACTTCTTGTGTTTGGAACAGGGGTTGCTACTTCCAAGTTGGGAACTCGGTGAAGCTGGGGATGTCGATCCGTGCAGCCTTTAGACTAGCATTAGATACTTGGGCATCATGGGTCGAGAATACAATCGACACAAGCAGAACTCGTGTTTTATTCCGTACATTTGAGCCATCTCACTGGGGGTACGTGCTGATATCCATGTGTTATATTCTTTGGCTTACCATATTCTTTACCATATTCTTTATTATCCTTTCTTTCTCGAATGGCTTGGTTTCACTTCACTAGAAGGTTCATTTCAATTTACCAGAAAGTGTTCTTGTTCAGTGACCACAGATCATGCAGTGTGACGAAACACCCAACTACTGACACCGAGGGGAGGGAACAGAGCTTATTCTCTGAAACAATCATGGAAGTGGTAAAGAACATGACAGTTCCAGTGACAGTGTTGCATGTGACTTCCATGTCGGCTTTTAGAAGCGATGCCCATGTGGGTTTGTGGAGTGATAACCCGTCTGTGCCCGATTGTAGTCACTGGTGCCTGCCTGGAGTTCCCGACATATGGAATGAAATCTTGCTCTTCTACCTGTCCAGACAAGCATGAACAAGTAATGTCCTTGTCTCTTTCTTTACATGGTAATGATGCAGTCAGTGGTCACAGAACTTTTATGTCTGAGACTGCAAATTCGATTGCTGCAGGCTTTCGGTGCGTGGATATTTGCACCATTTTGGCATTGGTATCTGATATTGACGGAGTCTCCGAGAATCGAGGGCTTCAGGTCATTTGTCTTGCTGCTCTTTCAAGGCAAGACAGACTTGGATCTTATAATATGGAAGCTACTGTCTTTCTGGATGCAGAAGACATATTTGGTAACGAAAAAGAAAGGGGGCGAAAACTGATTCTTTTCATTCTTTCAATGGTTTTTCTTTCTTCCTGGTGTCTAGCGAGAGAGATTTCTTCCCTGACTTTTTTGGTAAGAAATAGTTTTGAATTTAAAGAAGAAAAAATGAATGAATACAGAGTTTTCAATTATTCGCTCCCTCGTAGAAGTAAGAATAATGCCGTGGTCTCGGCTGTTTTTAAGTGAGTAAAAGATGGCATTACTGGATGGTCATTTTGGACTTCGGTCCGATGATACGATCTTTGGATCGAAATTCTCTAGAAAAGTGTAGAAATAACCAAATCCCCTAATCAACGAGTGACTACCGCGGGTTGACCCAAAGGGCCATCACGTCAAGCGTTCGATCTCGCAGTGGGGAGGGAGAGACGTATTTAATTTCGTCCCTTTTCAAGAAGCTATCACCGAGGTCGAAGAGCTCCGGAGAGGTGGTGGTGGGCCCCTATCCCAAGTCTCATGCTTGAGCCACGGGTTGGGAGGGTGAAGCATGGTTAGATGCGCTTTAGAGCCTGCTCACGGTCCAGGGGATTATGTTGGGTCGAAGGTCTAGATGAACCCCGGTTAACAAAAAAAAAACTAGATCCAATTTTTTGGAAAAAAAAAACATTCTAAACCCTAAATAAACCTGGATTAGAAATGTTGGTGTTGCGAAAACGCTACAAACGTTTATGGACTAACGTTTGATAAGTCAAAGATGAACGTGATGGATGAGTGCGATAATCCAGTAAAATCAAACAAGCCCGTTGGAATATTTCGAACGTTATGGATGAGTGGATTAAACACTAATAGTATTTGTTTTTATATTTTTCCAATTATATTTATATTTTTTTTATAACGGATAAATCTAACTGCTATCCTCTGAACGCTGATTAGATAAATCTCCGGTCCAAGAACAATATTCGTATATAGATTTAATTGACACAGAAATTACATACCTTCCTATCAAAAAGAATATAGAACATTCGACCTTATTAAGTTGACCACTCAGACCATCCCTAGTTAGATATTTATATTTATATTTATTTTAGATTCGATTTTTTATTTAAAAACTCTATTTTTTGGCTTTATATTAGATGCATATTTTCTAGAATTTATTATATGTTAAAAAAATAATCCCATAAAAAGTAAATGAATTTTGTAAGATGTAAAAAGTATATTAATTTGATAAACAAATCAAATATTAAAAGATAAACTAAAAAAAACTATTCTATCTACACACAAAAAACCTTGGATTTTAAATTTATTATAAAAATTAATTAACTATTAATTTTAAATAAAAAACTATTAATTATATAATTTATTCAAGAATAATCGTTCAATTTAAATTTATTATAAAAATTTATTAACTATTAATTGTAATAAACAAATCATCACCTATCTAAAATTTTCAAATAAAATCAGTTTACTTTAAATTTGCTCTACAAAAGTATACCATATTAAATTATTTTCCACTAGTTTCCTTTTTTTTCAAGGTTCGAAATTTGATCATGAGAAATTTTTTTCTGGAATCTTTTTATTAAATTATTTTTCAATTACTAAATTAATCTTATATATAATTTTGCCTGGACGCTCCCACCACCTAAAACCCTCATAAACCCTAATCTTCGTTTTCAAATTGCAAGGGCTTTAGCTTCGTGTTCGTCAATATGAGAAGACCCAAGTCAAGAGGAATGCGCAAACAGATGCGCAACAAAGAAATTGAGGAAATCGAACTTCTGAGAGAATGGATCGATTCGCAGAAACCGGATTCTGGGTCCAATCCGCTTTCTCTCGACCCATTGCCGAAGGATGCGAAGATCGGACGAATTGGGGAGGATAAAAACGGTGGTGTTTTCTCCCGGTACCCCGGCGTCGCAAGTTTCTATCAGCTCCCGATATCGGAGAGGACCAAAAGGGGGTTGAAGGAGGGAAAGTACGTGAACATGACCGATGTACAGAGAGCTTCTTTGCCTCATGCGTTATGTGGGAGGGATATCCTTGGTGCCGCGAAAACCGGATCGGGCAAAACTCTTGCTTTTGTAATACCGGTAAGGTTATGATTTTTTCTCTGTTTCGAATCTCGTTTGTAGGATATTCCACTTTGAATTGGTCTATTCTCTGGCCGTGGACTTGTTTCTGCTTGGTGTGTGAGTAATATTTGATGGGAAAATTGAGTTTTAAGTCAACAATTGCTCTGTTATGTCTTTAGGTAAATAAATTTGATAGTTCAATTGCTTAGTTGTTCTTACTTTGCAAAGAATATGTCTGTCCTTTCTATTGTTGTGAAGGTGTTTTCTTGAGAGTTATACATTTGAGTTCCTTCTCATGTGTCTCCTGTTTGATGGCAGTTATGGGTTAACCACATATTATTCCTTGATGGATGTCTGTCTGTCTATTTCAGATTCTGGAGAAGCTTCACAGGGAGAGATGGGGTCCTGAGGATGGTGTGGGCTGTATAATTATATCTCCAACAAGGGAATTGGCAGCTCAAACTTTTAATGTTCTCAGGACAGTAGGAAAGTATCATAACTTTAGTGCTGGCCTCTTAATTGGTGGTCGGGAAGTTGATGTTGAAAAGGAACGAGTGAATGAGATGAACATTTTGGTCTGCGCTCCTGGTAGGCTTCTTCAGCACATGGATGAGACTCCAAACTTTGAATGTTCACAGCTTCAGGTCTAGATTACCCTTCTTTTTGTTCAGCCATTTTGTTCTTTGTTGCATCCTCTCCCCACTTATGTTCTAACTTCCTGTCTGGGGATTTGCAACTGAGCATACACAAGATCTTTTTTCGTGATTCTGTATCGTAACAATATTTGTTTCCTTTCTCCTGAAGGTTCTGGTTCTGGATGAGGCTGATCGCGTTCTTGATTCTGCATTTAAGGGACAGCTGGATCCTATAATATCACAATTGCCTAAGCAGAGACAAACTTTGCTTTTCTCCGCTACTCAAACAAGGAAGGTCAAGGATCTTGCAAGACTTAGCTTGAGGGACCCTGAGTACATTAGCGTACATGAAGAGTCAGTTACAGCAACTCCAACTAGCTTGAAACAGACTGCAATTATTGTCCCACTTGAACAGAAGCTAGACATGTTATGGGGTTTCATAAGGTCACATCTTAATTCCAGGATTCTTGTCTTTCTCACTACCAAGAAGCAGGTTACCTATTTACTGTTATCCCTCTATCTCATGGAATTTCGAACTTTAAGATTACCTTTTCAATTGTCACCTCTTGTTTTTATTTTTCTATGTCCTAATCTTGAGACTCATGAAGAAATCGCTATGTGATAGGTAAAGTTTGTCTATGAAGCATTCAAGAAGTTGCGTCCTGGTATACCTTTGAAGAGCCTTCACGGAAAAATGGATCAGGAGAAAAGGATGGCTATTTACTCCCAGTTCTGCGAGCAACGATCAGTTCTCTTTTGTACTGATGTGCTTTCTAGAGGTCTTGATTTCAATAAGGCTGTGGACTGGGTTGTTCAGGTATAAAGACACGCACAGAAACTTAAAGACTGTCTGAACTTTTTTGGGCTTGGATGTGATATGGTTGTTTTCTGTGATAGGTGGATTGTCCTGAAGATGTAGCCTCTTACATACACCGAGTTGGTCGCACAGCTCGTTTTAATACTTCCGGGAAGTCTGTTTTGTTTCTTGCCCCTTCAGAGGCAAAAATGCTTGACAAATTGCAAGAGCAAAAAGTACCAATAAAATTCGTTAAGGTAGGTCTTTTCATTTCTAAGATGCCACTTTTGTGCAGAAAAAATCAGAACTATATGGTTTACAAGCTTTGGTATAACTTCTCAGGCGAACAGCAAAAAGCTGCAGGAGGTTTCCAGACCCTTAGCAGCTTTGTTGGTCAAATATCCAGATCTTCTGGCTGTGGCTCAGAGAGCCTTCATCACATATTTGAGGTCAATCCATAAAAGAAAAGACAGAGAGATTTTTGATGTGACAAAACTGCCAATTGATGATTTTTCCGCCTCACTTGGTCTACCAATGACTCCTAAAATCCGCTTCATAAACACTAAATCGAAGAAAAAGGGGGTATCCGAGAGTTCTGTTACTCTCGAATTGGAGAAAGATCAGGAAAATACTTCTAACCTTTGGAAGGATGAACTTCTAGGGGAAGATGGCGGGGAAGAGAATTTTGTTCTCAAGCCCCATGTGGAGAACAAGGAAGAGGAAAAACCAGCTGAAGATTCCAATGTTGCCATGTAAGCTTCTTCATTTTAGAAGACGGACTCCCTGCAACTGTTTAGTCTGAGATTCTGTTGATCGATTATAAGTGTCATATTATGATTAAATTGTGCAGATTGGTTATTTGTTAACCGTGTCCACCATTTAGTGATTAATTGCCTCACTTTTTTATCAGGTCGGGAACTCGAGTTCTGAAGAAAAAGAAGCTGAAGATAAATGTCCACAGACCGGTTGGCACCAGGGTCGTGTTTGATGAGCAAGGCAATTCATTGGCTCCTCTTGCAAGGGTAGCTGGCACGACAGAAACTAATGTGGAGCTCGATCAAGGTATATACATATATTATTTATTATCTGTTGTGTCTTGTCCTCCTCAGGAAAGCTAGGAGTTGTAGTAGTTAAATATGGCATCTAGGATAGGAATCTCTTGTAAATGTCACGATGTAGAGAGTCATGTTGTGGGTAATGCAGAGAGAAAGATGGAATTCTACAAGAAGATGAGAGAGGAATTGAAGAGAGTGGATGTGGAGGACAAGAAGTTAGAACGCGATAAAAGAAGAGAGAAGAAAATGAAGCAGAAGATGAAGAGGAAGAAGGAGGAGGAGGAGGAAGAAGGAGAAGGAGAAGAAGAAGAAGGCAGACAAGACAAAAGAAGGAAGAAGATCTACTTTGGCGATGACGCAGACAATGATGGAATCAACACAGAAGCTATATCTGTAACAGAACAGGAAGAATTGGCCCTCAAATTGTTAAGATCCATGAGCTCATAGATTAAAACACCATTCATATTTTTGTTGTATGCTTGAAAGAAGTTTTTTTTATTTGTAATTTCTCTTCATAGAGAATTTTGTTCTTCACTTGGTATTTCATTAGCCAATTATGCATGTCAATGGGTAGTAGTGGTTGTTGATGTGATCGTCGCAGAGAAAAACTAAAAACCTTTTTCGGCTTCATGCTTGTGGAAAAGGGCGTCTTGTTGTGTACCCATGTCGCAGCCCGTGTGGGTGGCCTTGGTTTTCCTCCTCTGTACCCTTTTATACTTCTCATAGTATTGAGTAACCATCATGTTTTGTTTTGTTTGAATCTGTGTATATAGGATTGGATTGTGCAATATGATCCTCCTGATACTATGACCTGGTCTCGTACTTGCAGTGGTTCGGGTACCCGTGGATTCAGATTCCCACCCACGCCCAGTCCTAGATTCAGACATACCCGTTGAACGGCTCACTACATGGGTTTCGGGTTAAACATAATGTTTTAACGGGCGTTGGAACAGGCCGTCGCGGCTTCATTCCGTTTCTCATCGTCTTCAAAGGTGAGTCTAAACATAGACAGCGGAGCTGCTAACAGCTTCAGCTTCTCCAATCCGTACGGCTTGACTTCTTCTTCTGCCCTGGCTACTTCACTGTTTTGTATGATAAAGTTTATTTTATTTTTAAAGTTTTTAATATTGATACTATGAAATATGTATTTTTTTTTGTTGTAACTAAATTGAATATATATAAGTAATTATATGAATTAGTAAAAATAGCACTTAGTTATCAAGTTTTGGCAGAATAGCGTTTTAATGGTTATACGTTAGGCTTTATGGGTTTAGGATTTTTTTTTTAAATGTCTGTGTCCAAAGGTACAATGTGATTATCCAAACAGACAATTTAGATAATTAAATATAATTATTTTCCAATAATTGCCGCCTACTGAAAACAGTTAAATTATCAAATCATCCTAAAGTAGAAAGAGGGTGTAGAAACCAAAAGATAACCGGTCCAAGAAAACACAACTAAACCACCCACTTAACCGGACCGGACCATTGTTCGGAGCAACAACCTTTTCTAGATAGAAAAAGGGTTCAGAAAACCGGAACTAAACCAGAGCGAAAATCGAAATAACCAGGACTGCAACGGCAACTAAACTGGTATAACGGAACTGGACCGATTTCACGGCGAGGCTCTTAGTGGAAACCGAAGTCATGGGAGAAGGAGGAGGAGATTGGTGCGGGGATTCGACATCCAGGACTTTGATGATCATTTTCTGACCCTTTTGGCAGTGGCCGGAGACACCGCTGATAAAGTAGAATAAACCGGACCGGTCTAAATTGAAAACCGTGTCGCCTTTGTTTGAGAAGAACTCCGGTTTAGAGGATCGGCAGTTCTTGTACTCTTCTTCTGTCACCACCAGGACAGAATCTTTCTTGTACTTGAAACCTACACCAAATCCCACCCCCAAAATAAAATAAAAAAAAAAATAATATAAGAAAAAACACGTAAAATTATAAAATATAATTTGATGGGTCGTATAAGATATGATTTGCAATAAACATGCATGCTATTCATTTAAGAGGAAAAAAAAAAGTCTTACGAATTGTGTCGTAAACTTTGAAACGGTTCTTGGAAGCCCATTGATTATACAAATCCTTCGTGGACGTTGGTACAACCCAACCATCTTCGCCTCCAACTACAAATTCAGAGCAAGAAACACATGAAAACACATAAACCGATGCGAAAACAAAAAGCAGAACGGTCTTCGATGAACCCATTTGCTGTAGTTTTTGGATTGATGTTCAAGGGAGCTCCCGAGAAAAAGTTTTCTTTTTTGTTTCTGGGGGGTTTTTTGGTGACAAAGGAGACTTTAGGGTCTTTTGTGGAAGAAATGAGGATGTTAGGGCTTCTGTTCTCTCCTGAGTGTTGAGTTTAAAAAGAGGAGACTGGTGAGGTTTGTTAGTTTTAAGTAGAGAGATATAAGGAAGTTGAATTGCAGCGAGTGGTTTCTTTTTTTAGTTTTCTCATATATTATTATTGAATTGAATATATGTGTTTGTATGCCCTTCTCTCATCTTGTTCTGAACTCATTCACAACGATATGCTTTTTTAAAAAAAAAAAATTCAAACCAAAATAAAAATAATATTTTTAAATATGAATCTGTTTTTTGTTTTTACACGGGGGACTCTAGAAAACCTACTCATTTATTGAATATAAGATAATTTCCATATTCAAATTCGAATCCATTGAAACTATATCGTGTTTGAACTGAGATGGATATATTTTTTAAATGAATTTTATAAATATATAAATACAAAAAACTAATTAATAGTTTAAGAATATAAAAATATAAACAAAACTTTAATTGAATCTCCAACCAAAATCGAGGTAATCCTATATTTTTCTTTTTATTATATAATATTTTACTTTCTTAAATTCTAACTAAAAAAAAAGACAACCGAAATCCAAAATCTAATTTCTAGGAGAGAGAGAGAGAGAGAGAGAGAGAGAGAGAGAGAGAGAGAGAGATCGTGTATATGCATTTGACTTGGTATTCATGAATTTGTTTTCTACTTCAGAAGAAGAAATTTTCAAGGAGAAACGACTCTCAAGCTGTTGAGCAAAATCAGCTTCAAGGATATTTGTATATTTCGTTGAAATACAAGGTGAAATTTTGTAAAATTAATAATATATCTAACTAAATACAAATCTATTCGATCAAATTAGATTTGAATATATACCATTAAATTAATTATTTTTTAGTTTGTGTTTTTTTTTTGTTTAGAAAAATTATGTCACTTTGGGTTTAGGTCGAATTCTATTTTTTGTTAATAAAAATATTTAATTTGCAAAGAGATTTGTGTATTTATTCAATCTTCTATATATTAGATTTGATTTAGTTAAAAAAATATGTATCCAGTCCATTTTGAAATTTGAATTCTATTCAATATTATTCATTTGGATGAAAATATCAACCCTTAAATCTAATATAGTGGTTCGTGAATCGTAGGTATTGTATAACAGATTTGGGGATGGATTCGGTTGGAAAGTTTAGTTCCAAACTACATGAGTTCCGGTTCGGTTTTATTTGATCAGTTTAAACCGAAAGGTACAACACAAAGAGAACCGATCTATTCCGGTTCGGTAAAAATCAAACAACATTTCAATGAAAATGAATGAGAGAAATTAAAAGAAAACCGAACTAAAACCGTAATCAAGTATGTATGATTGAGAGAAACCGAACCGACCTAATCCGACTAGAATAGACCGGTAATAAAAAAAATTAATATGTAAGATTGAAAGATTAAGAAAAGAAAATTCGTAATAAAAATCGAACCAAACCAAACCAAAATCTAAGTTCTCGTATATATTAGGTACCCATATAACAAAATTTTGCTATATACATAAAAATAAAACCAATCGAACTGAACTTAATAACATATGATTCTAATTGGTGCAATTTTTTTGAAAACGAATAAATCGTTTCCCAAATGAAGTCCAAAACGTCCACCCTAATTTTAAGAAATTCGCGGAAAGGGTGGTATTTTAAGTTTCCTAAACTTTTTGGGGTCGTTTTGTCAGAAAGAGAAAATCCGAGGCAAGAAATTAGAATTTTGATACACTTGGAATTTCTTGTTCCAAGAGGCCTTGCAATGTAGGATTTGTGGGATATAAATCATTAAAAATAGAATATGTAGTGTTTATGTAGTTGGATTTGGGGTCAAAATATGTAGGATTTGTCGGAAAATGTGTTTAATTTAATTAAACCCATTATTGGAGTCAGGGTGTAAATAGTCACCTGCAAATATTCAAGGTAAGAAATGTAAGACTTGGAGAATGTTAGGTACTTCTTCCGAATATTTTCTACCTTCTCTCCGCTTGAGGCCTTTAGGGTTTAAGCCCCACAAAAAACCTTTTTTTTTTGTTGTTAAAGAAGCCCACAAAAACCTTACGATCGTCTCCTAAAGTTTCTTCTGTTTTTCAAAATTTGCTCGGAGAAAAGGAGAAATGGCGAATTCCGTTGCCACGTTCTCGAGGACGCTCTGCCGTTTACTCCTCTCGAGCCCTAGATTTTCTCAGGTTTCGAAGCCCTTCTGTACCAACAACATCCCCTCGCGTGAAGAATCCGATTCGGACGAACTCGCCGTCAACTCGGACATAGAATCGTCCCCTGAGACGGCATTCCATTCACCATCGCAGCAATCCGGCGAGGAACGCGCTTTAGTTGAAAATCCTTTGGAGAATGGCCTCGACGGGGGCATCTACAAGGTACATTTTCCTCCAAAATCGGCTCGAGTTAGCTCGTGGGTTCTCTCGCTCTGATTCACGTTTGTGGGCTCTATGGTTTCTTTGACTAGAAACGAAGTCTGGGTTTGTGTTGTTTTGCTTGTGATCGTCGATGAAAGCTATAGTCTTGCATCAGTTTGTCACTTTGTTGTTGTTTATCAATACTCCTGTCATCCTTTATGATTTTTACTCTTATATATGTATATTCCCAGACATATGACTATTCTTTGCATATCTGTGATTCTTACTGATGTGTTCGTGGTGGATATTCACAAATTTCTTCCTCGTTTGGCTGAATTCTGGTGTTTTTCAGGCAATTCTTGTGGGGCAGGCGGGTCAAATACCTCTCCAGAAGAAGCTGAAGAGTGGCAAGGCAGTGACGATCTTCTCTGTGGCGACTGGAGGATTACGGAACAATCGGAGGGAATATGCGAATTCTTATCCAGTTCAGTGGCATCGGGTCTGCATCTACCCTGAACGGCTAGCAGATCTTGTGTTAAAGAATGTTCAACTCGGGTTAGCTCTTTACAATCATGACCCTTTCCCTTTTCATGTTTCTGCTTCATTTGCATTGCGTCATAAGTTTTATTCACAACTTAGTTTTCACGGATCATGCCGTGGTAATAACCTTAAGGTTACAAACAGCAGCTGTATGTATGGTGATATCCAATGGAAGAAAGTTGAACCAAATGATTATGCTTTGAGAAATGTCATTGTGCACTGACTCCATCATCATCCTGGGCTTATATATGAGCTTTTGCTTGGTCAGGTTGAAGAAGAGTTTTTTGTTGACCTCATCCAGTTTTATCTTCCATTTCTAAATTCTAACAAAATTGAGATCTTGATTAGGTTAGGGTACCTGGGTACTGATACTGAAGAAAGTCCGACTCAAATATCTTAAGGATTCTTGATTCCATATTCTTGAATAAGCTCGGCTTCGAGTGAAAAATACTTGAACATAGACATAGTGTGCTTAGCTGGAGATCTCAAATCAGACAATGGTCACATGTACCAGAATGGTCTCCATTCATTTGTCCTCTTCATTTCCTTTTCTTGTTCAAGAACTATAAGCCTGTCATGGCGTCTAGGATTTTTGTCTGTTCCATGGATTCTTTAAGGCAAAGAGAGTTATTTGTATGCCTCTTGCCCATCTTTCGGAATTGAAAAGCTGGTTGCTTTGTCCGGAATCCTTACTAATCTTGTTGGGTTCCATGTCGAACATTCACAAAAATATAAACCATAGAACAGAATAATATATGCGCCGTCAACTGGTATGGTAACACAAGCTTGTCACTGTTTTCCTTTCATGTCTGCAATTCCTTTTCGCTACTTACAACCTCTGACATGACATGTTTTGTGCAGTACAACTCTGTACTTGGAAGGCAATTTGGAGACAAAGGTATTCTCAGATCCAGTGACCGGTATAGTTCGTCATATAAGAGAGGTTGCTATTCGAAGAAACGGTAAAGACTGGTCAAGAACTGTTGTCTTCGGTTATGTTCTTCCTCTTTTCCTCTCTCTCGGATTTCACATGGAATGGATTTCGCTTGAAATGATCTCGTTTACTGTTTGGGTTTTCATCAGTCTTTTTACTCTGTTAAATAAGATTTCACAGCGGTAATATTTGCTCTGGGGATGTGTAGGGAGAGTCGTGTTTCTGGGTAAAGAAGGGGAAATGCAGCAGCCAGGTCCTTGGGAACTCAGAAACGTTGGCTACTTCTGATTGATGCTTGTCGTTTCTCTCGCAACTTGGTGAAAGTGAAGTGATACAGATAATATTAATGATACTTTTTTTTTATAACCCCGATGTTCCCGGATCTTTCGGTCCGACTACATCTATCCTAAACTCGAGACCAACCTTTGTATATAGATCATTTTGATTCAGAAATTACATCCTTCCTCACTTGTAGAACATTAATGATAATATTATGTCTTCATTTTTTCGGCGCTCGATTTTTATAAAACTGCAATGATCACTAACATAGATTTGTTATTTTGATTGGGATTTTGAATTTCAATAACAAGTAAATAAAACAGATACTGACCATAGGAACTTGCCATCATGCCTATGCCTTGCAAACAACAGGGGACAAAACGCACCCATACAACCAAAGAAATGAAAAGGATAAACGGTCCACGTGTTTGCATGCATGGCTCTTTCCACCAGAAAAGAAACCCTTCGCCATTTCTTTATGCACGTCTCTCTCTCTCCCTCCCTCCTCACTCCCTCTCTCCAATGGCTGACCGGAGACCCATCTACGGTGGCGTCGGCGGCGGCAGTCACCCCATCGCCGATCTCCTCCGGCAACTGCAAACCCACGTCCCAACCTCGGGCCAGCTATTCGGCTTCCTCGCACTCTTCATCTCCGGCGGAATCCTCCTCTTCCTCACCGGTGTCACCGTCACCGCCTCCGTCCTCGGCTTCATCGCTTTTCTTCCCCTCATCATCCTCTCAAGCCCTATCTGGTAATTTATGATTCTCCATAACACTGAATCTCCAAAATTGTAGTTTTGGATCCATAATCTTTGAGAACAGAAATCTTGAATCTCTAGAGGGTTTTATTTTTTATTTATCTTCGTCTATATATGTGCCCTAATCTTCATCTCAAAATCCAGATGCGTTAATCCTAACCCTAGACTAACAGGACCCCCCAATCACATACTCGTGATGTTACAATCACCATTTTGATTATTCATCGTTTCAAATTACACACACACACAGTATTCTTATTATCTATAGATACGATTTATTATTTCTAGTACGTTGACTGGTCGTGTTAATGATGTGGCATTTTATGATAGTGATTCGTATGTGATAATAATTGACATATCGAAATTTGACAGGGTCCCTATGGTCTTCCTCCTGGGTATGTTCTTGGCGGTCGGGGGATCGGTCGTTGCAGTGGTTGCGGTCGTGACGTGGACGTACAGGTATCTACGTGGCATGCACCCGGTCGGATCGGGACAGGTGGATTATGCCCGGGCTCGAATTTACGACACGGCGGCTCACGTCCAAGTTTACGCCAGAGATTACGGCGGTTACCTCCAAAGCAAGGTCAAAGATGCGGCTCCTGGTGCCTGAATCGGATTGCACCGGTTAAATCTGGCTCGACCGGATCGGTTTACACACTGAGAAACGATTCTTAATTTCGTGGTTTTTCTTTTCTTTTTCAGATTTTGTTGTATTTATGAGATTGTAGCGCGAAGTTAGATAATTTGTGGTGGTGCGTACGTGTTTGAATGAAATGTCAACTTTGGTGAGGACTTTGTTCTGTATTTTACCATATGACTATATATGTGTATTAGGGCTGGTCATTTATATCCGTTATCCGCGGGTTTATGGGTATCCGGACTCGTGGATACCCGAAAAACGGATACTCGTCTTTAAATGAAGACGAAGACAGGTACAAAAAAATGACAACGAAGATGAGTACGAGTTTCATTTGAGAGGATATATATATATATATATATATATATATATATATATATATATATATATATGAATAAAAGATATAAAGATAGATAGAAATACTCATTTAGGATCGAATGGTTAATATGGATTTGGAGTGTTCAAAAATCAAAATGAACGAAGAAAAAAAAATTTATGCGATGGATGTCAAATAAATATTCGTTGTGTTATAATAGTACAATGAGGAGGCCTGGTCAAAAACCTTAGAAGCCAATTGCCAACCCGAGGGCCGGTCTTTGGTGATTCCAATTGCTTTTTTTTTTTAAAAACAAAATCGCGGATCTAATTTATACAAAACTTTTTTTGTTTTTTGATTGCCATATGTATGAATTATACTTATACATGTCATATCACAATATTTATTAACCATATATTTGTGTGTGTGTGGTAATCTAAAGAAGACACGGTAGCTCCTAAAGAACTGACCAATTAAATAACGACACGTCGTCTCAGTTGGTGACCGAAGGCGACCCGACAAAAGAACGGTTCTGGTAATGGAGCAAAGGACTGCCACGTGGCGAACGGGGAATATATATATATATATATATATATATATTTGTGTATTAAAAGTTATTGTCAATCAAATAACCTCACATATATGCAGCATTGTTCAAATATTTTTTTTGGGTAAATGTTAATTTTTTTTTGGTAAAGGTGATCAAACATGTACATGTAGTGTTGAATATTTTTAAAAAAAATTTAAGCTATTTTCAGAAAGAAGAATCTCCAAATAATGCTCTTCGAAGGGAAAAGGAAAGAAACAAATCTATAAAAACTGAAGAAATTATCCTTGTGGGTTTAAGATCCTAATTGAACTTCATGAATGAGATTAATTCACATGCCTATTTTTATGTGCTGATAATCTGGTCCTGCAAAAAGGAACATATGCACTGATATAAGATTTATATATGGGCCAAAATGCTATTCGTCAACAACATTTTTAAATTATTGTAACCATTTTTGTGTAGAATGGATATCAATCGAGCAAATGGACCAAAATCTTTTGTGGCTCTTATGAAATCTTAACCTCTCATAGTTTCTTTCCGTTGACCTCTCAAAAGTCAACTCGAAAAACTAAAGTCAATCTTTTGATTGAAAATGGCCAGGTGGCTTACATTGACACCCAAGGAACCCTTGTGTCTTCTATCTTTTTTCTATCATTTTTTTTGTCTCTCTATGGTGTCTGAAAGCTTCTTTCTATTGTTATATTTTCCAAGTTTTGCATTTAACCCCTGAAATCAATGATCGTCATTTTATGATTGTCCTAATATCCGAAAGATTTGGAATGGAGCCATGAGATATGCTTGACAAAGTAAGGGTCATATTCTCGCCTCCTGTCCGTGTAACATTAACATACATCTATATATTGTTGGTTGTAATACTTTAAGATAGCCCGATATAATCCAATAGATGATATTTGTATTTTATATTGATTCATTTATATTAATACCTTATTTTTTCTATTATATGAATTACATATTTGTTATATATCAATATACTTAAATCATTACAGATTGATTCGAAAATCTATTGTCGGTTATCATCGTGGAAACGATGATGAATCAAGACCATTATGATGTGTGATCGATAAAAATGATCATACATATTGGATGCGGATCACAATCATTGGTACTAATTTGGAATAAGTGGCTGGATGACTCACATAAGATTATTATGTGGACATGAGCCAAAATTTGAATTTTATATAGTGGTCCGTTCTTAAATCCTCACACCTAAAATGTTTAGCGTATCTTGATTATGTCAAATGTCGTCTTTAACCGGATGATCATAATGACGTTGCTCAGATGCGTTTACAAATCGTTTGGAGATAATAGACAATCAAGATGAGATTTTTCATCTCTCTAACGGGAGAGATATTGTTAGACCCATATATAAGTCGGACTATGAAAATCATGCAAAACATGCAACAGTCACAGTGATACGCAGATAATATCGGACTAGACTCTGATATCATTGTTGGGTTTCCTATGTGTTTTCTAGTGTACACTTTCAACAAGAACATGTTAGCGATGGTATATCTAGGTTTCACGAAATAGAAGAAAATCGAAACACATATAGAAACTATCAAGCAAACTTGATGAACGTGTGTATTAGGATGAAATCGAACATTTATACTTTTGGATATTATGATAACTTTTTTTTCCCGAATACTTCTCGTTATTTCAGACCTAGAGGTCGATTTGATTCAAGTCTCGGATACCCTAAACGTTTATCTCGAAGCAACGTTTGTTCGTCTAAACGTCGCCACATCTAGACCGGTTTGGCCCAGACATAGACCGGTTTGAAGGTGGTGTGATTATGTAAAACATATGTATCATGATTGGAAAAATAGAGGATATATATATATATATATATATATATATATATATA